GATTTATTTCTTTCAACTAGACTTCACTTTTTGATAGTAAGTTTCTAGAATATGTGGAATGAGAGATATTGCTGTGACCACCTTTGAAGAATATAGTCTGCCACAGTGAGGTATAAGCAGAAACCAATCTTATGCTTTTTCCTACTGCTTCTTTAAACTGCTCTGTGAATTCATTTTTCCCTATGCTTTGAATAAAATTTCAGTCTAATCTCTTACTATAGTAGGCTGTATTTACCTTTACTTGGTGTTTCTCTCTGCAGGAGGATTATACATTCCTGCCCTCATGACCTCAGGTGTAGCCATATGACTTGAACAGGATTAATGTGTCACTTCAGGGCAGAATCCTCTACAGGAAGCATGGGGTTTTCCATGTTTTTCTTTCCCTCTGTCATGATGACAAACAGTGTTCTAGGTAGTGACTACTCCCTCAATCTAGATCCCAGAGTGAACCACACTCACAGACAAGCTAAAATTGATGTGGTCTAGCACACACCTTTATGGTATGGGGGCTAAGTATCACGTGTTACATAGTTCTGCATCTCTGGGCCTCTCTAAAACACACGGAGTTCTTGTAGGCTTTACTGAAATGCCAAAACAAACAAACAAAAAAAATTCCTGTCTTGAAATCCCATTTCTGCTATTCCTTAGAGTTATCTTTCTTTAGATTTATGTGCATGAAAACATTTCACAAAATTTTAAACTGCAAGTTTATTTTAAAAATCAACATTAATATACAGAAGGGAGAGCATCTGCACAGATCCAGGACTACAATAACATGTGGCATCCCATAAATCACTTAATGTCTGTGTTGCTTGTTATTCTGGTAAGTGGGAAAGTCCTATTTTAAAAAGGTGTTAAGAAAAACTAAACTATATACGGAATATATAAATTAACACATCTGAGAGTACTATTTTTGGCTACCTTTACAGAGATATAACTATTTTAACAAATCTTTTTCATGGCTTTTTTTTTTTTATATAACTCCCAAAAGCTAAGGAATGTGTATATGACCAAGATGCCAAATAGATAATAGAACTGGGTCTCGGTCCTCTTGCTTAATTACTTCCCTATTAAGCATAAGTATTATTTTTGTTGTTTTTTTCCCCTACATCCTTCTGTATTATAGTAGGATAAGATGAAAGATAAAGGAAATTATGTGCCTTTCCTAAAGTCACCTAGCGTCTTCTTTGGATCTGAAACTAGAACACACTTCTGCTTCAGGTGACTACTTCATCCCTCCCCTCCTTGTCATTACTTTCATTTAAAAAATTCTACTGCATGACAGAGAACCACAGTACTCTGTCATAATCTGTTTCTGTATTATAGGTATCTTTTCATGCAAAATCATTCACTATGTATGAGCAGCAGAAAATATTAAATCCATATAACTAGGCATTTCTATACTTCTCATAGGTAGCAAGGCTATCAATATGCCCTTTTGTGAGAGTAATTGGGATAATGAAAAGCCGACTTTGGGAAACGGAGGTTTGGCAGTAGCAGTAGGTACTGACCAGACAAGAGAATAAAGAAGTAGATGGATATGAATGGTCTACACGACCCAGAAATTGCCATCCCTTTGATATCATTGACAAGCATAGATTATGAACCCTAATTCCTATTCATAAAATTCTCTTAAATGCAAATAGCATACATATATAGTCATATATTTCTTGTTAAGAGGAATATATTCCAAGAAATGTGTCATTAGGAGGCTTCATCACTGTGTAAACACCATAGAGTGTGCTTATACAAACTTACATGCTAGGCTATATGATATAGCCTATAGGTCCTAGGCTAAAACCTGTACGGCATGCTACTGTACTAAATACTGTAGGCAATTTTAACACAATTATTTGTGTATCTCAACATATCTAAACATAGAAAAGGTAGAGTAAAAATACACTATTATAATCTTAAGGGACTATCATCACCTATACACAACCTGACCAAAATGTTGTAATATGGCGCATGACTGTATTTCTCCTTCCAGACTGGCAGCTCCATGATTGCAGGAGTCATGTCTGCCTTTTATATTCTTGGTTCTTCTTTTTTTTTTTTTTTTTTTAAGTTTGAGACGGAGTTTCGCTCTTGTTACGCAGGCTGGAGTGCAATGGCGTGATCTTGGCTCACTGCAACCTCTGCCTCCTGGGTTCAGGCAATTCTCATGCCTCAGCCTCCTGAGTAGCTGGGATTACAGGCACGTGCCACCATGCCCAGCTAATTTTTTGTATTTTTTTTTTAGTAGAGACAGGGTTTCACCATGTTGACCAGGATGGTCTCAATCTCTTGACCTCGTGATCCACCCGCCTCAGCCTCCCAAAGTGCAGGGATTACAGGCTTGAGCCACTGTGCCCGGCCTTGCCTTTTATATTCTTAAGCCCAGTAAAGCTTCTGGTTGAAGTGATCATTAAATATTTTTTTAATAGATCCACTAAATGAATATCACATATAGATCCAGCCTTTTGTCTTTTCTTCAGATTATTCTTTGGGTACAAGTAGGCTGCTATCTAGTTACTGCATTCAGCTCAATGTCTAGGATCTCCAGGTATAGTGGGGGCTTCCTTAGTTTGAGAGTGATTCTTATGGACCAATGGCCTATGAACTTATAAGAAGCAATAATCTGTTTCCCACTCTCACCCAATAAATAATGGTGAAGAAGGGATACAATAATCACAATAAAAAATTTCTATTTAAAAAAAACCCCAGAAGATGTGCAGTGGGCATTGGCCTATAGCAATGCTGGTAGCCTGCAAGACAGGCATTATGAAATTCCCTACTCTTTGATCAGGCCTTGACTCTAGTCTCTGGTAGGGCACCCCTTTAACATCATCCTAGGAGATCTTTCTTTCCATCCTTTCGGTTTTATTCCATTTCCTTGGTCCTCCTTGGGAAAAAGGGCTGTTTTGCTTTTGCAGCTCACTTCTTGAAGAAATAAGCTTGGCTATTGCTAATAGTTTTGTCACTATCATTTGTTTCATTTTGTGTTTTGTTTTGCACATTTTATATAAATTTCATTAAGGAAGAATATTCATTAAAATATCCATTTTTAAGTGTACAATTCAAAGAATTTTCACAAGTATATATATTATTACCTCAGTCAAGGCATAAAATATGTTCATTACCCAAAAATTTCCTTTGGGTTTTCTTTGCAGTCACTTTTCCCCCTGACTCACTCCATCCCTGCCCCAAGTGTCACTGATATGCCATTGCTATAAGTTTTACATGTTCTAGAATTTCATCAAATATCCAGCTAGTATTAACATCTCTGATTGCCACATAGATGTTATAATATAGTTTAAATTGTTTGTGTGAATCAAAATCAAATAAGAACTGCATACTCAAAATGATTCACATATCCTTTAAGTCTCTTTTAATTTCCTTCTCTCTCCTCTCATCCTAATAATTTGTTGCAGAATCTAGGTCATTTGTCCTGTAGATTTCCCTGACAATCTAGATATTGTTGATTGCATTGGGTATTTAACATGTTTCTCTGTCCTTTATTTTTTGTAGATGGTAGTTCTATTTAGAGACTTTAACTGATTCTGATTTGATTTTGTTTTGTCTTGTTTTGTTTTGGTTTTTTGGCCACATGCATTTTTAAATGTGTTGACATTCTTTTGATTTTGAGTAATAGAGAACTAAACATGCAAAATAAATTTATTGGCTCGTATAACTGAAAATTCCAGGTAATATCATGGATTTTGGGCTCATATCATGTAATCACATCCTGGTTTTTCTATCTTTCTGCTTCATACTGGTCTCTTTTGAGTTTTGGCTTCATTCTCCATGGCTTCTCTGGTTCAAATCCATAGAAAATAAAATTGCTTCCTGGTGGTTCAATTTTACGTTATTGGCAGTCATTGGCCTGGCTTGGGTATGTGTACATCCTGGACCAATTAATGACATTAAGGAAATATGATATTCTGATTGGCCTGATTAGGGTGCCATCGTGAAGGCAGTTTCATAGGAACCACTTCAACTGTTACTCAATTTAAAGACTTTTAGTCTTGTCCCATCACAGTTGTTTTGCAGAGATAAATTTATTTTACAAAACAGAATTATTAGTGACTTTCTACTATGTCTTTACATACAATAACCTTTTTTGTTGTTGTTGAGAGGACGTCTCACTCTGTTGCTCAAGCTGGAGTGCAGTGGCGCAATCTCAGCGCACTGTAACCTCCACCTCCCGAGTTCAAGTAGTTCTCCTGCCGCGGACTCCTGAGTAGCTGGAATTACAGGCACTCGACACCATCCATGTCCGGCTAATTTTTTTGTATTTTTAGTAGAGACGGGGTTTCACCATGTTGGTCAGGCTGGTCTCGAACTCCTGACCTTGTGATCCACCCACTTTGGCCTCCAGGCGTGAACCACAGCACCCCGCTAATAATCATTATTTAAAAACAGTAATTCCATCTAAGTGGAGGTGAATAGAGTGTGTTTTAGGTAGTAAGGTGTAGGGGAAGGCTCCTTAGAACTGTCCCCCAACACTAAGTCGCGGTCACCTACTGTCTCTTGTCAGAGAGGTGAGCTCTGTGGAAATAATGGTAGAGCCAAGTTTCAATACAGGATAAAGTGATCAACAGAGGTCGGGAAAAGGGAGAAGGGAGAGTGGGAGGTTGATCGTAGGCCCATAAAGGAAACACGCAGGACACAGGGTGACAATGCATTTAAGGCGTCCGAACACTTCAGGTGAGGTTATCGTGTGGAAGAGCTCAGAAGTGGAACTTGGTCTCTTTACCAGGTTATTTTTAACGTCAACTGCAGAGTACTAGTAGTTTCATTTTTTTGGCGGTGACTGCCAGCATCAGAGTGCGGTAGAAGCTTCATGAGAAAGGTGAGGATACCCTAGACAGGATACAGAGTCCTGCGGGCGGTCGCAGTTGCGGGAGTCACACAGCTTCACTCGGCCCAGCCTACCTACGGCTGGCAGAGGCCAACCGGAACCACGCCCCTCCCGGGGACCGGCTCCGCGATTGCGTCACTTCCGATCCTCAGCGATTCGCCTCCGGGTTAGGCTGAGCCTCCTGCTTTCTGTGACTGGTGGAGCTGCCGCGCTCTCCGCGTTATCTCCTGCCGGTGAGAACGAACCGCAGTGTCCACCGGCGAGGAGCCAGCCCTGTCCCGGACAGAGAAAGACGACGAGGATACCTGGGAGCGGGCGGCGGCCGGGCTGGGCCGCGCCAGTGCGGGCTGGCGACTCTGCCCCTCCGCTTGCTGCTGTTTCTGGGAACTGGGTGCCAGAGCTGAGGGGCTTCCAGCGGACAGGGACCCCCTTCCCCGGCTCCCCTGCCCACCCTGCCGGGGAGGGCGGAAGATGCCGGTGAAGAAGAAGAGAAAATCCCCTGGGGTGGCAGCAGCAGTAGCGGAAGACGGAGGCCTCAAAAAGTGTAAAATCTCCAGGTACCATCTCCCCCCACCCTTCGAGCTTTCCTCCTCCCTCCTTTGCTGGACAACGGGAGGAAAAGGAGTCGGGCCCGGCCTATCGGGCTGGGGCTGGAGACAGGTGAGGCCCCTTTGATCGAGCTAGGCGGTAGGTGCCGAACACCGCGAGTCTCCGCGCCCGACCCGACCTCGTGTTCGAGTGTGTGCACGCTGGCGATTATGGAGAGACTAGAAGAGCCGCCCACGTTATGAGTCTACGTGCCCTGCAGGGTGGGGAACAAATGCATATGTAAATTGCGCTTGAACTCCCCTGCCCCCAACCGACCCCCAGTCTACTACTCCCTTATCGCTCCTCTGCCTTTTTTAGACTTAGAAGTGAGTACAGATCCGCGGAAGGGTCACTTCTAGAATTTCTTTGTAGAGTGTGAAGAAAGCAGAACATAAGGAATCTTGACAACTATCTTGGGAATGGTAGAAAGGAAAACTTGTATGCTATAATTGGCATCCATATTTAGTATTTGGAGTGGCCTAACCCGGAAGGTCCCAGCAGGAGGCCTTTTAAATTGCTGGAGCCCCAATTTCTGGAAGTACAGTGCCTCACCTATGCCAAGTCCCCGTGTGCAGAGTTGGAAAGGCCCTGCATGCGTTTTGTCTTCTAGCCTTCAGGACGCTGTTAGCTCTCAGTATAAATTTAATAATTTGTGAGCTCTTGTACTGTGTGTCCTCTTGGTAAGAAGACAAGGCAGAACTATGTAGTTGTAGCTCTTTGATCCCTTTGTAGCATATCATGGAGGCATCACAGCAAAATTATATGCTACAAAAAATAATTGCAATTTTGGTGTGAGAATTTTTTTTTTTTTAATTTGAGAGCAAGAGTCTTGCACTGTCGCCCAGCCTGCAGTACAGTGGCGTGATCCTCTCACTGCAACCTCTGCCTCCTGGGTTCAAGCGATTCTCCTGTCTCAGCCTCCCGAGTAGCTGGGATTACAAGCGCCCGCCACCACGTCCGGCTAATTTTTTGTATTTTTAGTAGAGACTGTTTTTCTATGTTGGCCAGGCTGGTCTTGAACTCCTGACCTCGTGATCCGCCTGCTTCGGCCTTCCAAAGTGCTGGGATTACAGGCGTGAGCCACTGCGCCCGGCCGAGAAGTGCTTTTTTAAAAAATACCCATATTAGCTGCCTTTTCATCAATAGCTGGCACTTGATATGACAACTTTAGATGCTGCTATTAAAAGAAGACAGTATAATGATAGAGCTCTCCGTAAAGAGAGATCTGCTTCAACTGTGAATTAGGTGACTTACCTAGTCTGCATCTTCTTTTTCGTAACTGGGCGACTTTTTCCCCTCATTACTGTGTTTTGGTAAAGGAGGCTAAGGAGTATTTCTTGGGCTATTAATGTGAAAGATGATACACTTTTCCTATACCCCTGGTTAGCTAACATTAGAATTTGACATGGTTACTTTAGTAGCTCATATTTTTATGAGATATAGGCAAATTATTATTCGTTTTTGTATTACTCTATCTCATGGCCATCTTAAGTAAATATATCAAAATTATTTCAGCAAAGTATGTTAAGATAGCTGAGCAGGCAGTATTACTAGAACTCAGGTGATACTTTGCACAATCCATTTAAATTTTTAAATATGATACTCTTACTTTACTCAATTACAGAAGTTCTAGCATTTCTATATCATTGTGGAAGGGTAATTATTTGAGTTACTTGAAAATAGTTTCTCTGAAGGTCATTGAATCCTAGAGGCCATTTTGAACTTACCAAATTTTAGTTATTTTATGAAAAACAATGAAAATTATTTTATGAAAAAAAAAAACAGAATGGGCAGAAGCTGGGATTAAATAGTCTTGTCCTATTATTTCGACTATTATTAACTTTTAGGGTTTTTTGTTGTTGTTTTTAATCTGTGAAATTTAATATACCCTGAAATCTTAAGTCATCATTTATCTTTAAAAATCTTTTTAATCTTAGATGATAAAACAACTCTTACTAAAACATTTTATTTTGCAATACTGATTCACTAAGTATCAAAATATACTTTGTAAGAGGTTGTTTTAAAATATGTATCGATTACGCACAAATAGAATTTCTATACAAATCAGTAGTAGAATCACAATAAAGATTTATACATTCCCAACTACTAAGTTGAACTTCTTTGTAGTCTTGTAAAATGTGGGGAAATAACTTACTGATATTTTTGAATTTTGATACTGAATAAAGAGGTGTTTGGGTTTTGTTAGCTGATAATTCTTATGTATAGATTACTGTTTCAAGTTGCAATTACTTAACAACTTCAATTTTTTTTTCCAATAATGCCAACCAAAGAGAAAAAAATGCTTTAAAATGAATTGAAGTGGTTAATTTTGAACTTACTTTTTCACTAAGAGTTGAGATGTGATAAAAATCTTAGGCATGTGTGTGTTTTCTAAGCTATTGCAGATCCCAACCCCCTGCTAGACTAATAAGTGGAGAGGAACATTTTTCAAGCAAGAAGTGCCTGGCTTGGTTTTATGAATATGCAGGTAATGAAATTAATATAAGAAGATATCAGTCATATGCTTTAAAAAGTTTCTTTGGCTTACTCATTTAACAAATTATCTGTTACAGGCTTGCTATGTATTAGTGCTGTGTACTGGGATCAGGGTCAGGACTAAAGATTGTGGGTAGGCTAAAAATTTGTTGCCAATTTAGGCTGATATTTCTTTAAAATACATATTCAGTACATATTTACTGGGAGGGAAGAAACTCATTTACTAAAATAAAATATGTAAACAAAGACAGATTCACTTATTTACTTTCATATGTAAACAAAGACAGATTCACTTATTTACATTCATTGGCTAAAGTATTCTGGAAAATAAAAGGTACACAATAAAACATTTTTTGTATTTGATATTGTGGAAAACACAAAGTATACCATAAAACATTTCTATTTAATATTCTTTTTGGAAATTTTTCTGAACTAATTCTGAAACTTTTAAGGAGACATAGTAAAAGATTTAAACCCCTCAGTTATAGTTAGACAACACATTTACCTTTTCATAATTATCATTTAACAATCCACTTCCACTAGAGATGCAAGGGTAAGTAAGAAAATAAATAGACTGATATTAATACAATGTGATAAATACTGTATTCAGAAGATACACTGTGAGAGTTCATAGGAGGAATATATAACCCAGCTTTTAAAGTGTCATGGGAGTTTTCTAGAGGCACTAACTTAACGTCAGCTGAGTCCTGTAAGTGGTAGATGAAGAGCCCTAGGCCCAGGGTGGGGTTGTGTTTTAGAGGTGAAAGTCAAAGCCAGCCAGAGATGAAGCTGAAGAGTTAAGCAAATATATGCAAAAGAACACTTATTTTCCATTTATACTAACTTTCTCATAAGCATATATGAAATATTTTTCCCCTTAGAATAGTTTTTTTATTTTGGAGTTAACTGAGTTTAAAGCTTTGCTTTTCTTTTTCTTCTTTTTCCTGTTTCCTTTTTTTTTTTTTTTTTTTTTTAAACATCTGCTTCCCTTTTTGGTTTTTGTGGGTTTTTTCCCCTTCCTTTTATCACCATCATTCTGCAAATTTTGTTTAAAAAGAAGTGTATATGTAGCTATTGCCTTGTATGTAGTTCTCATCCACATTAAGGTCTAAAGTGGTGTACTTTGAACTTGAGATATAACATTAGGCTAACTGTATGGAATGTGAGACTATTTTGAAAGGGGGGCAGTAACTTCGTTGTTGGGATCGGCTGAGTGATCCCAAAAGTACAGTTTTAAAATTGTTTAGTAGCAGAACCGATTCTTTCTAGACCAGAAATAAATGCTATTACTGGCATCCCAAGACAACCACTAACCCAATTTAAATAAAGGAAATTCATTTCTTACTGACCTCCATTTAAAATGTCGACCCATTATTCCAAATGCCAGTTTTACTGGTATGCATGTTACAGAATCAAAAGATCACTCATCTTATTTCACTTATAACTAAAGGTTACTAGACACCATAGAAATATAAAATATTTGCCTCAACTAGGAACTTTTCTAGGTAGCATAAGATTCTAATTAAACATTTGTTTACTGTATTAGCATTTTTAATAGCCAAAATAATAATTGCTGTTATTCCAGGAATTGTCTTAAGTATATATTTTTTCTTGTGACTGCTCTATTAAGTAGGTAGTATTATCACCACTTCCACCCCAACTTTAGTTTTTGAGACAGAGTCTCACTCTGTCTCAGGTTGGAGTGTAGTGTTGTGATCATGGCTCACTGCAGCCTTGAGCTCCTGGGCTCAGGCGATCCTCCCACCTCAGCCTTCCTAGTAGGTGGGAGTATAGGCATGTGCCACCACTGCCAGCTAATTTTTTAAATTTTTTGTAGAGATGGGGTTTCACCATGTTGCCCAAGCTGGTCTTGAACTCCTAGGCTCAAGTGCTCTATCTGCTTCAGCTTCCCTAAGTGGTGGGATTGCAGGCATGAGCTACCGTGCCTGGCCATATCCTCATTTTATAGATGAGAAAATGGAGACTTAGATTAATTAATTTGCCCCAGATCATATAGTGACAGAAGCCAGAATTCAAACCCAGGTCCTTCTGATTCTAAAGTCCATGCTTTTAACTACTGTGCTTTTATGCATTTTTAATTTAAATTTATAATGTTTGTAATTATATATAGTTATAAACATTATGTTTATTTTTTATTTAAACTTTCACTTTCGCAAAGAAAATATTGGTACTCTTGGTTAACTTGTGTTAACCATTCAATAAAATATTGAGTACTTGTTTTGAGTCAGGCATTGTGCTGAGTGCTGGATATATAGTGCTGAGCAAGTCAGACGAGATCCCTGCCCTTGGGGGACTTGCCTTCTAGTGAGGAAGACAGTAAACAGGTATGTAGGCAAGATAAGTACAGATTGTGGGGCATTATAAGGATAAATATGGTGAGGTATAGAGAATAAGGAAGGGTTAGATGGACTTCAGATAGGTCTCTCTGTGGAGACCACTTTGTACCTGATTAGGGAGGAACCATTTGTTTGCCAAATAAACAGTAACTGTTCTGTCTTGAAATAGGAATGTCCTTATTAAAATGAAGGCAATAATTGTGCCTACTGAGAATAATACATGTAAAGCCCTTAGCACAATACCTGGTATATAGTCAGAACTCAAATATTAGTTTAGCATTACCGCATCAGATTTACTCGTCTGTTTTTTACAATGTTCCAAAATTCACTACTCTTATGGAGCTCATGTTGAAGGCGCTGTGTCACTGAGCGTGTTTTTTCCCCCCTAAGCATCTGTTATGGCTGGCATGGTGTTAGGCCTTGCAGATATAGCTGGGAAGATTTCTTTATGGTTATAAAGAAATCAGAAAATTGACGATGTTTTTCTTTTAGTTTTGAAAATATCACTAAACTTGTTACTATGGTATTATATCATGTGTGATAAGGCTGTTGGTTTTGTTCTTTCACAAGACCTCTCATTCTTGAGTGATATTTAAATTAATAATGATTCAATAATATACTGGCCTATGGTAATTAAAAACATGGAAAGTGAAAGGGCAGTTTTAAAGTCTCATAGAGTCAAAAAATAAGGTTGGAATTGCATAGTCCTAGGATAGTACCTAGCTGGTAGAGTGAAGTGAACTAGAAGAATGAACAAAATTATTCCTATAGCCTCTTCAGTTGAGTGGAAACCGAATTATCCAGAAAAGTTAATTAAATTTAGCTCCAGAGGTTTTACCCAGACAGTAGTTTTATTAGAAAGATTGGAAGTAATATTATTGGAAGGATTAACATTTTGCAGTCTGGGGAAAGCACATTGGTTTCAGACCTTGCTTTAGACTTAGATCCGTTACTATTTGCATTGCTTTGACTAAGTCAGTTAACATTTACAGGCCTTATCTAAGTTATAAGGTATTATATCTCTATGTAATCTCATTTGACTTGATTCTAACCAAATTTTAATTTGTAATCATCAAGTAATCCTCCAGTTTCTAGGGGTGCTATACTGATATTTCTTTCTCTTTTTTTTTTTTTTTTCTTTTGAGACGGAGTCTCACTCTGTTGGCCGGGCTGGAGTGCAGTGGCACCATCTTGGCTCACTGCAACCTCTGTTGCACGGGTTCAAGCATTTCTCCTTCTTTAGCCTCCCAAGTAGCTGGGGTTACAGGCGCCTGCCACTGGGACTGGCTACTTTTTGTAGTTTTAGTAGAAACAGGGTTTCACCATCTTGGCCAGGCTGCTCTTGAACTTCTGACCTCGTGATCAACCCGCCTTGGCCTCCCAAAGTGCTGGGATTACAGGCATGAGCCACTGTGCCTGGCCTATACTGATACTTCTTGACATCTTCTTCAGCTTTCTCTTCTAGTCACTAATGGCAACTTTGAGACCAAGTTTGTTTTTTTGATGCTTTTGAAAAATTTACAATATATTCTCATCATGGCTTTAAAAAAAACCATTTGTCTTTTCCCTTAATTTTTAATTGTTTATTTTTTTTTTGAGACAGGGCCTTGCTCTTGCCCAGGCTGGAGTGCAGTGGCAAGATCATGGCTCACGAGGAGTAGCCTCAAACTCCTGGGCTCAAGCAATCCTCCCACCTCAGTCTCCTGGGTAGCTGAGACCACAGACTGGCACCACCACACTTGGCTATTTTTCTTCCCTAGAGACGAGGTCTCCCTATGTTGTCCTGGTTCGTCTGGAACTCCTGGGCTCAAATGATACTCCCACCTTGGCCTCTAAAAGTGCTGGGATTACAGGCATGAACCATCACGACTGGCCCCCTAAAATTTTTAAATCTGATTTTTTATTTCTTTGTCATATATAAGAATACTCAGTTACGCATTTTTAACACCTTTATTGTATATGTATGCCTTTTAAATTACAAAATTAACACATTCTCATTTAAACAATTCTCCAAGTATATAAGGAAGAGAAAGTGTCCTATAATTATCACCCCCTTCACCTTTTAACACATGAATGTATTGTTAGTACTTATTTAAACCCAATCACATTTACCGTGTTACACAAAAAACTTCACAGCGGTTTTAGTTTCAGACTATGTATTAATGTCATCTTAGCAGCCTGGATCTCAGGCAGCGAGAATGTATTGACTTTGCATTGTGCTTGTAACCTATAGATGGTGCCATCAAAGCTACCTGAACAGCGTTGGTCTAGTCTGGTTTATAAAGCTCGAGGATTTTCATCCTTTATAAAGGAAAATATAGGCTTCTCTTGACTATTAAAGAATTATATTTCAAGATTATATTTTCAAAATCCCATATGGTAAACACATTTCTCTCGTATTATTACAAAATTTCTTTTTTAGTCTTATCTCGTCAGAAAGATCTAGTGATGATGTAATTACTATATTTTGGGAATCTGGTAACATTTTGGAAAAATGATAATTGATGTATTGACTTATTAAGGTTACTAAGGGCATAAAATAAGGAACAATTTAGATACCAGTAATTAATTTTTGGACAAATGATAGATAGTAGCTAATTGAGAGATTAAACTTTTGTTTCTACCTTAAGATGACATTAATACTTACTGTCTGTTTTAGAACCAAGATGATAAGAAAAATAGCTCTTTCTGGAAATGGAATGTAGTAATTTCCATAAGTCATTATTTTCAAAATATGTTTATATTTTTCAGTAAATAAATTATATTTGAGTATATTTCAAAAGGGTAATAAATGGCCTGTTTTATAAGTGAACATATTCCCTTTCTGATTACTGTATGAACTTTCTGTTGGTTCTGACAATCTAGATTAAGAAGCTCCAGCTGCCTTATGTTTTTTCATATTCATGCATTGTCAAAAATTTTATTCAGAGTAGGCGCTCAGTAAATGTTTTTTTAATGGATAGGTTTGACTTTTTGTACTAACTCATGATTGATACAAATGGAGTATTTCTTTGCTGCTTTTTAAATTTTCTTAATTTCATATTGTAATGTGGTGTTCAAAGAATACTTCACAAATTTTAAATTTAAATCTTGTAGCACATATTTATACTTATCAAAGCTATGCCAAAATTCAAATTTAATGATTTGCAAAATATTATGGTGTATTCATGGGTACCTTTAGCATGGTGGTTTATATTTTATGTTGATATTATAACAAAATATGTAAATTATTTTTGTCTTTGAAGGTCCTGATGAAGTTGTAGGGCCAGAAGGAATGGAAAAATTTTGTGAAGACATTGGTGTTGAACCTGAAAATGTATGTTTTATTTCTAAGTAGAATGGCATAAAAGTGGGGTATAGCATATTCGTAAATTTCTAAAAATTGGGACACTTTAATCTTTTATGAAGATTTTATTTCTTCATGTTTAATATTGTAAATTTGCATTAGGGTATTTTTAATCAGCTTCAGTTGGGCAAATGTGTTCTTTCTTGATACAAATTTTATATGTAATAGAATAAGAGATTCTACCTTCAGAAACTGTTGGAACTTTTTACTTTTAAGAAATTGGCACATCTCAATTTCTTTATATATAGTTAATTCCAGAGGTTGTACTCTTTAATAGTTGAAGGATGGAAGTAGTTATGTAAAAATTGCTCTCCATGATAAATACAGACATGATTATCTCTATGCTGACTTTTCCCCTATCCTTTATGTTCTGTTCTTTCCAGATTATTATGTTAGTTTTAGCGTGGAAATTGGAGGCTGAAAGCATGGGATTTTTTACCAAGGAAGAATGGTTAAAGGGAATGACTTCATTACAGTAAGAATTTTTTTTAAAAAACAAATTTGATGGCCTATTTGAAGATCTTAATTGATATTTTGTGCTTCATAATTTTCAGGAGTAAGGTCTCACCTTAAATCAAATCTGTTTGATCTATAAAATTAGTTTGGGGACTGAAAAAATTATATTGTGGTCTTGGCAAATGAATAGGTACCCCATGTTTTATATTCTCTAAGAAAAAAACCTTAGTACAGTTCTATTAAAATTCTTTGATTCTCTTGGTGAGTGACTTAAAAGTTCATTATCAAAGACCTATTTATTTACAGCTTGTTTGAGTATAAGGTTTTCCCTCTCTGAATACAGAATTCTACGGCCTAAGGAATATATTTGTTGGGCAGCCCTAAGTTTTGGGGCCTCCTCTCTCCCTTCTTCACTTTTATATTTGACTTTAAAAATTTGAAGATAGAGTTACATAACACTTTTATGATTTCTTTATTGCCAAGTGAACTTCATAAAGGACAAAAGTAGAAATGTTGTAACCACTTCGATGCGATCTTTACACATTTTATAGTCCTACACTTTCAGTTTAGGATCCCATCTTTGAACATTTTCATAGAATTGTACCTTATAAAAATAATTTGATTTTGGATTTCCTGAATGGAGTGTGCTTAATTTCAATCAATTAGTAACTTTGTGTTAATTTTCTAGTATCATGTTTCTAATGTTCCTGCAGGGTATTAGTTAACATTCTAAAATAGAGGAAGCATTAATTTAAAATATTTTTGAGGCAAAAACTGGGACTTAATTAGCTGTGTGGTTTCCTGTTGTGATTATGCTTTCATTAACACTTAATAATGATTCCTTATTTTTGGTCTGTCTTTAACTTTTTTTAAAAAAGTATTTGTTTATATTGCACTTAAATTTTTAAATTTGAATTTTCAGTGCCTAATGATTTATAATCCTCTGTTTTAATAGACATTAACATGTAGACATGTAGATATTTTATATATGTATTCTTGGGTAAAAGCCTTTGTTCGTGTGAACCAAATCATAATTTCTTGAATGAAATGCAAAATCAACCCTCCCACTTCCATTTTTTCAATAGTCTGAGATCCAGAGAGGCTAAGAAAATATTTGGCACAATTCCTTAGTAGTAGTGCTTAGTTAGAACCTAGAATTCAAATTTCCTGATTACCAATCTATAATACTGTATTCCTACTATATTGCTATTTTCTACATAAATTAGCATTCCTTATAAAACAGGGAACCCCTATTTTTAAAAATTATAGCATTTGCTACCCATACATCTGCGTGTCATAATATGCCCAGATAAATACGTCAGTTCTGAAATTCCTTGGATTATTTCTCACCATTTAGTTAGCTTTTTAGAGAACAATTAAATATACAAAAGAATATGCAAAGAATATTGGTTTTATACAACTCAGTGGGTTTTATTAAGATTTATGTTATTATATCATTCATTAATGTAAGACATTTTATTTGTCATTATAAGTGGGTTTTGGACTATCACTACTACTACTTTTTGGATACTGCTTTTTGAAGTATCTCAGCTAACAAGTGGCTGTATATTTGTAAACGTTAAAGTTTCTTATTTATGTTTTTGCATAAATTGATACCATATAAAAAGTCTGTATATAACAAAAATGTGAAAGCACAAAGCATTTCTAATATATACTTCTGAATAATTAACATCATGTGGCCGTGGGTACGAGAACCGAAACTGACTAGCCCATGAACATTTTTTTTTTTTTTTTTTGAGGTAGGGTCTCGCTCTGTCACCCAGGCTGGAGTGCAGTGGCGCGATCTCAGCTCACTGCAACCTCTGCCTCCCAGATTCCAGTGATTCTCCTGCCTCAGCCTCCTGAGTAGCTGGGACTACAGGTGCATGCCACCATGCCTGGCTAATATTTTGTATTTTCAGTAGAGATGGGGTTTCACCGTGTTAGCCAGTATGGTCTCGATCTTCTGACCTCATGATCTACCTGCCTTGGCCTCCCAAAGTGCTGGGATTATAGGTGTGCGCCACCATGCCCGGCTGAGCATGGTTTTTATTAGCACACCTTTCCTATAGGAAGGTCACAGGGTATACAAAATAAAAGCAATTATTCATCACTTAGTATGTCCCAGAAGTTTCTCTTTTACTCATTTATTATTCTTTCCCCATTTGCCTGGAATAACATACTGTAGAGCCTTGAAACTACTGAGGAATGCTTGAAGCGAGCATTCTTTACCTGGAAAATAGTTGGTTTCCCCCCTCATGATCTAGATTACCATGTAAAATACAAAGTGTTTGTCCTCAATTAGCCAAGTCTTATTACTCCTTGAATTTTCTTTCTTTTTTTTTTTGAGACGGAGTTTCGCTCTTGTTACCCAGGCTGGAGTGCAATGGCGCGATCTCGGCTCACCGCAACCTCGCCTCCTGGGTTCAGGCAATTCTCCTGCCTCAGCCTCCTGAGTAGCTGGGACTACAGGCACGCGCCACCATGCCCAGCTGATTTTTTGTATTTTTAGTAGAGACGGGGTTTCACCATGTTGACCAGGATGGTCTTGATCTCTTGACCTTGTGATCCACCCGCCTCGGCCTCCCAAAGTGCCGGGATTACAGGCTTGAGCCACCGCGCCCGGCCCATAAAACTCTTTAGAGCTATGTTAGTCTGTTAAAAAACAAAGAGTCTGGTAGTTTAAAAACACACTGTTCAAGGATCGTAGACTATAATAATCATGATTAGTTATCTATATTGTGTAATGCTTTATAGTTTGCAGAATACTTTTTAACAGTTGTTTATTTTTATTTATATAGGCTTTCTGTAACTGAATTGGCCTTCCTTCTTGTGTGAAAGACTTTGTGGGTATATGAACTTGCATGTAAATAACCTAGAGTAGCCATTTTCTAAGTTTCAGGAGATGAAATTTCCATGTGCTTTTCACATATATTCTTCCATGTAGTTTTCATTTTTGTTTAATAATAGCCAAATGTCCTTGCAAATCTAAGATGTTAATTTTTTTTTTTTTTTCCTCGAGACAGTATCTGGTTCTGTTACCCAGACTGGAGAGCAATGGCACAATCATGGCTCACTGCAGCCTTGATGTCCTGGGCTCAAGTAATCCTCCTGCTTCAGTCTCCCAAGTAACTGGGACCACAGGAACATGCTGCCACACCTGGCTAATTTTTTTTTTTTTTTTAAAGAGACAGGGTTTTACTATGTTGCCCAAGCTGGTCTCTTAACTCCTGGGCTCAAGTGATCCTCCAGCCTTGGCCTCCCAGAGTGTTGCAATTACAGGCGTAAGCCACTGTGCCCAGTATTAATTTTAATTTAATTTTGTAGTTGTTTATATTAGATAGCTATATTATGTAAGGTACAGTATCACTTACTGGTGATCACAGCAAGGCAAAAGATGCAGCTTTTGCCCTTTAGTTATATTCTGCTAGGTCAGGGAAAACAAACATTACAATACGATAACCCAGCCAACCTTTTTGGTGCCAGAAATCAGTTTTATGGAAGACAGTTTTTCCATAGATGGGGCAAGGGAGAAAGGAGGGTTGGCTTCAGGATAAAACTGTTCCACCTCTGATTATCAGACATTAGATTCTCATAAGGAGCATGCAACCTCACATGCATAGGTTCGCACTCCTATGAAAATCTAATGCTGTTGCTGTTCTGACAGGAGGTGGAGTTCAAGTAGTGATGCTTGCTCACCCACCTGCCGATGACCTCCTCCTGTGCAGCCTGGTTCCTAACAGGCCCCAGACTGGTACTTATGCTCAGCCCAGAGATTGGGCACCCTGCTGTAACCATAAAACTAGGTAGAATATGACAAGTGCTAGAGTGGAAATATAAGATACTATGAAAGCACAGATGCTAGTAAGGTCAATTTCAGCTGAGTAAGTAGGTAGATCTTTTATAGGTGTGGCCTGTGAACTAGAATGTGAGGAATGATTAGGATTTAGTTGGTTGAGGATATAGGAAAATGTTTCAGAAGAGGGAAATTGTGAGCAAAGCCTTGAGGAGGAAGGAAAGTAAATGTTTGAGGGAAGTAGTTTGATTTCTTAGTATTGTAAGGTACATAAAGAAAATTGCCTTGGAATTGTAGCTATTTTGAGTGATGGCTTCATTGTGGAGGGCTTTAGCTAATATGTTGAGAGAGTTTAAATCTATATTACAGATATTGGGAAACTGTCAGATTTTAAAGCACAGGAATCTTAAAAGATTTTTGGGATAATTTTCAATGAGCAATTGTTTTTAATAAAGTCATAGTCTCTTTTGAGAGTCTTTGGAGAACTATGGACCTCATTCCCATTAAGAGGCACATGTACTGCTATACACAAAAATTTGATGTGCTATCAGGAGGTTGTGAAATTTCTCTTCCTTCATCTGTAGATATGAGGTTCCAAGGATGCTTGGCAAGTTTTTGTTCTGGCATACTGTACTAGAGTGGAGGTCTTTTCTTACATCTGCTAGCTGAAAGTCTGGTGTTGGAGCAAGGGTGAAATACTATGCCAGTGGAGAAAACTGAACATAGACTTTTGAAAAGGACTGTACTTGATTATTGATACTGAAAAAAAGACAAGACAATAGCATCTGACAACAGTGTTAGTAACTAAGCTGCCTGCCAGTAGGCTGCAGATTGTAAATCTAGTATCTGTATTGAGCCCTGGACTTTGAAGTTTAAAGGGAATGGTGTGGCTTGACCGTCTGAGAGAGAAGGGAATAGGGAACATTTATATGATTTTTTTGGTGGGGGTGGAAGAGAGGCGTAAAGGAAATGCTATCTGTCATGTCATTCATTTAGCATTTGGGGCCCAACTACTAATTGCCATTAGCATCACTCCCCTCTGTTGATGACAATTTCAAAATGCCTCTCTGAACATTTTCAAATACCGCAAAAAGTAGATGGTATTGTTTTGGTTGAGAAAGCTTAATTAGAGGAAGTTCTAAATCCAGAACTTTGTGACACAGTTCTTCATGTTACACATCAGTGTGTCACAGCATAGTCATTGGGACTTATGAATTAGGAAA